TTATTGAGTGCAAAACAATTAAATAAATCTGCTGTGTTTTCTCGTCCTTCCATATACTTGGACAATTTTGTCACCAAGGTAAGGTTGCATTTTCTTGCCATAAGAACTTTTTTTGCATCTTGCAACTTGTAAATTAAGGGCTCGACCTATATTCCAGTTTATACAGTATCTTCCGTGCACCCCTAAGCCGACGGTGCTGTGGAAACTATGTGCTCGTTGGGCCGGTCACACTTGTGTCTTCAGCCACATGATCACGCTCCCTTGCGCATACCCACATGTGCAGAATGGGGTCGGGTGATGGACAGGAGGGCAAGCGACGTTTGTCAACTGAAGTCCCAATTTTTCACCCCCGCAAGGATGGTGAAAGCTCTCGCGGTAGCTGATGTTGGTTCTGAACCTTACTTTACCCCATTGATGTATTTCAATGTCTGTGTGGCAACAAACTGAAAGAAAACTTGAAAATGAAGCACAGGTTGTCGATTGCTTGCTTCACAGAATAAATAGCCCAGCTCGCATCCGATTTTGTTGCCCGTGGGACGCAGTTTCTTAGCAGAATATCCCCTTTTTTTCGGTTCTCGTTCCTTATGGCGGAAAAACCCCAGTCGTCTGCTCTTGTTCCCCTCCTGAGTGATGCATGACGGGAGTGCATTCTGGTGCACACTTGATTCTCAAGGTGCAGCGAGTGCATGGACGTGTGGAGTGGCGACGCCGAAATGAACGCGAGGAGTGTCTGCCGAAACAAACTTGCTCCATGTTGCGAGTGGGTACGCATGGGCACGAGTGCCCATGCATACATGTAGTCATACACTGTGCACGAGCATGTGGCTTCGTCTTTTATCTTGTTTGCGTGCAGAAGTGGCTTCAACGGCATTGCAGAAATTACACTAGCCTTGACAATAAAGTACAAAAAGGTTTACGCCAAGTCTAGGCACTGTTGCAAGATCACCGATCCAGGAAACCTAAACCGAGCCACCACTAAATGTGTTCCGTTTCAAAATGGTGTAATTGGCAAGACTGAACCGCCACCAAATGTGCTCTGTGGTAGAGCACAAAAGTACATCACCAGACATGAGTGTCCAAAATATACTTACAATGGCTAGCGGCGCCTCATAAAAGTCATGCAATGACCCTCTGCTTGGCCACTTAAGCCACACGCAGTGCCGTGCAGGGTACAGAACGGCATCCACGGTGCAGTGATCCAGGGTCCCGCCCGTAGTGTTCCACTGCTGCCTTGGACAAGGTGAAAGCCAGCTCATTGATGTCATGGTCCCCGGTACCTGTGGTGTGTAACCATTGTGTTTAAAGGTTATACAGCCACCGACCGATATTGCAGACCCGATGGGGATCATGCAGAATTCCGAATAATTGAGCAGTTTGAAATAATGATTTTAGCCTTAAAATACAGTTTATTATTACGACTTAAAACGCAAAGTTGCTGCAGCAAGTGATCGATGGTTTGATGTACGGCATGGTACTGTATGGTACTTCGCATTTCAGCGAGTCATTTTGTCACTGTATACAGACGAAAGCATTCGGACAAGTTACGCGCTCACGGCTGCACAATGCTCACCAACTGTAGGGCGAGTCGGTAGACTTTCCCCTCGGTGAAGGGCAAAGTCCGGTTTGTAAACGCTGTGCCGCTGGAACAAATGCGCGCAGATTGATTGCTACTTCCTTGGCGATACAACCACTGCCTTCTCACGTCGACACACGGGAAATACTGCAAACAAAAGCAGACACCGTCATGACTTCGCAAGGTAAAACCGGAGAGGCCAAGAGCAGAAGAAGTGCTTAGAGTGCCGACATGCTACGTGGCGTCAGCAACGAAAACCTGCCATTTAAAAAAAGTATATTCTAGTTTCTTAGCAGACATGACGTCAGGACAACTGACGGCAGCGATTGGCAGGCGGTGTGCATTCTTGCCACTGAATTCATAACCTGTCGCCGAATGTAGTTTTTAAACATGGCAGATATAATCTGGCCTGTTTTCGTCCACAATGCTGCCGTGTAGTCTGTCGCATAAATTATTTTTGATGCTAAGGGGCAATTGGGCTTTACGTAAACATAGGCTGGACGTGCGTGTGGGAAATATAACATGAATGACCGCCCCCAACATTGGCTCTTCAAACAAACTGACAGAAAAAAAAAAGGCCAATATGTCAACATTTTTGGTGGCTGTCGTGTCAGATTGAAGTATAAGTAACTAGTAAAATAAAAATAAATGAAAAAGTACATAACGTAAGGTGTAAATAAACTCTATAGATATAATAGCAGTCCCAATGATTTAACAAAGAGGCTGGCTTTCTCAGAATGCCCCCCTCTCACTCGAGTCCGTATTGAATCTTAATATGAAGTTGCCCCGAAAAAGCTGCAGAAAATGCACATACTCACAGAGCCCATAAAGACCACACCTGCCTTTCACATGGCCTTTCGAACTAGATGCAGTACAGGACGCAGAACGGTACCCATGGGCTAGCTGCAGCTGTAGCCCAGTGCTTGTAGTATATTGCAGCTGACGGAAGGGAGGGAGGCCAGCTCCTTCATGCCGTGGTACCGGAAAAAAAAAAAAAAATGAGCCACAGACGTCAAACGCCTTGAGTATTTCTGTGCATCCACGAAGCCAATCTGGGACAGCAACGACAGAAAACTTCAGTAACACAGTGAACAAAAGAGTAGGCATGCAGGCGAGCTGTGAATTGTGAGCACAGCTAAAACCCAAGGCACAAGAAAGCAGAAAGGAAGAGGCCTTTCCACTTCCTTGCATGTCGGGTTTGAGTCTCGCACGGGGTAGTAAAAAGCAACAATACTGGTTCCCTAGTCTTTTTCTGCGTCAAGAAGCCTTGGAACAAAGAAATCCTACTGGTTATTCATCTTGTTTTCTCGGGCGGATTATAGTGCACGGTGCGGAAGCAAACTGCCTCAAAGGGGCTCAATTCACACTTCCAAGAAAATGATTGGCGAGCAACCTCTCCATTGTGTACTACGTGCACTGTACGTTTTAAGCGGGTCCGTTTTCTGCTAACACGACAGCGGTAGGAATGTTACTTGTGTCGAGCTGGAGAAGCCATAGCGGGGGCTACCCCAGCTACGCCCACGCTGGCTCTTATGGCGGTTATGTGCAACGCAGACAGCTTTTCCCATTTCAACCGAGTGCCTAGGCAGACACAGAAGCAGCCACATAAGACAATCGAGGGAAGACGCAGAGTTGTACAGGCTAAGAGGGAACGACATAGTGTAGCGAGCTTTTTAGTCCAGGCGATTCCTCAGAGAAATGCAGTCGGCGGAAATGTAGGTCAGTTGTTCTTGCCATTAATTTAGGTAACGAATGCAAACATTATACTATTTTGCATCTTTTTCTACTGCAATGCTAGTCACCCGCAACGAAAAAACGTCACAAACTGAAAGAAAGTCTCGTTGCATTGTTAACACGGACACCAAGTCCATCAGGAAAAGCCATCTGTGCCATCCACCTGTTCATAAGCGAGCTGGAGTTCATCAAAGCACAACCGAGACTCTCTCGGGAGTATTTGGTTCCTTGTCACTAGTTATAGAATGAAAACACAGTGCAGTGTTGATTACTGTCAGCGCAGCCTTGCCACTAGCACTGCTGTCACTCGGGTGGCAGATATTTCGCTGGCACGACATGGCCTGCGAGCCACATATATCCCTAAAAGAAAGCTGCATAGAATGCACTTACCGTGGCTAGCGTCGCCGCCCAGAGAGCTTGCACAAACCCTCCACATGACACGCAGTACAGTTCAGAACAGAGCAGCACTGGCTAGCCAGTTGCTGCGAAGGCTTGCGGTGTCTTGCTGCTGCAAGTCACCTCTTTCATGCCTTGTGGCACCCATCAGTTTCAAAACAAACGCTGATGAACCGCGACCAGCCATGACCTGTAGCACAAGGGGGAAAAACGTGTGAATGTGCAGTCTCCTATCTGTTTGCTTTTGTCTAACGTCTCCGAGTTTTCTTTGAGAAGAAAACAGCAATGACACTTCTTTCACAGTAATGTGCAAAAGAAACAAAAACGGCTCGGTTATTATACTGTCTCATAAGTTGTGTGCAGCGAACGCACGGGTGCGAGGGCGCAGCTCTGAAGAATGTTCTTTTTGCGCGGGTACTCGTGCAAAAAAGGCGCTTTTTATTGTCATGTGCTCGGGCCTGCGCCTTTGCTGCACACAACTTATGATACAGAGCGTATAGCACGCCTCCGTGAGCTCTCGCGTACGGCGAGAAAGCCATGATATCCAGGGTACGATAGCAGGAAACCTCGCAAGGGTGCACGAAGCTGCAAGTGCGCCAGAATGTGCAACTGGAGGTGGTGATAGAATGACATAGTTTGAGAATATGGGGTTACTTGGGTCAAAATATAGAAGCGAAAAACGTAACTTCCTTGCCGGCTGATGTTAGGAGCCATCGGAGCACGACCAACTATTTGTTGTGATCGGGGTATTACGATCGGACGCGGGTTGGTAAAGATTTGAAAAACCCGGAAGAATAAAACCTGTAGGGGCGAAGACAGACAGCGCAGTTCCTTGTTGACATGGGATGTAATATTAAACACATTATTCCGTCGGATCAAACGTTTTTATTTAATCAGGCTTATCTCGGAAGTCTGCCGGCAGGTCTGGGGTCGGAAGTATGCGGTTTTTAGAGCCCTTTTGGCGGGCTTTCAGCTTTCTGCGATGCGTGTTTTAATCGTGAGCACAGGCTCAAACAATAGGCAGCGGCGCCAAATGTATTTGAAACGAAGAAGCAGCTCGGACGCGTGGACCGAACACATCGAAATCACATCACAGGAAAACGTAAATCACTCACCTTTTGTTCGACGATGGTTCGCAAGACACGATTCAAATCGACGACACTCGATTCGGTCACGATATTCAGGTAAAGGACGCAACAACGTAGGCTTGCCGTTCCTAATAACTACATAAATACGACGATACGACACGATATCAAACAAAGGAGTCAGAAAAGCGCAGTCTGTAGCGCAGAAAATTGGATTGGATTGGATTGGAGTCTGCGGCTCTTCCCTTTGTATCGGGTGATCAACAGCAACAAGTACTGGATCTAGCCTGTCGCGCCTCCCGCGACTTCCGCTTCCGCTTGATGTTCCGCTGATCGGTTGCATTCCCTCCGCCAATGCGTATCCCTCCACCAGACCTCCAGCCGCCTCTTCGTCACGTCAACCGCCGATCGAACGTTCTTTTGTTCTTCCTCTCCTTGTTCTGCACCGATTCGGAAACCGAGTGCTACAGGTAGCACCTCTGTACTTGGGACCGGTACCATGTGCCGGCACTGCAGCACTAGGTGCTCCATCGTCTCGTCGGTCTGCCCGCAGAGTGTGCACGTCCTCTCCTGTCCCTCCGTGAACCTGGCCCTCCACACCCGGGTCCGTAATGTGCCCATGCGGGCCTCTGCGAGGAGTCCACTGCCTGTCGAGTTGTCGTACCAGGGCTCTTTCCCTATGGCCTCCTTCTCCGCGCAGTACATCGCGAGGGACGGCTTCGCCGCCGCTCCCGCTCTCCATCTCTCCGTCTCCACTGCTCGGATGCCCTTTCTGATTGCCGCTGGGCCCTCCCGGCTCTCGCCCGCTGACTCCAGACAGATCGGTTCGAAACCATAGCGGTCCCGCAGCCTTCGGAGGCGGTGCATCCATTTGGTGCCTCTTCCCTGGTATATCATGTAGCGCAGGGTGCGGTGGGCCCAATTCCCATCCGGGAGTCTGTGCACTCTCCTCTCGTACAGTGCCTTGGCGCTGGCTTCTCTGGCCTCGAAGGACGACCAGCCCAAGTCCCCCTGGACACCCTCGTTGGGTGCTGTTCTTGAAACTGCCAAGGCCATTCTTCCCGCATCCCTCTGTCTTCTCTCCAGGAAGGCCCTTGTTTGCGATGAGAGGACGAGTACGCCATTTGCGTACGTGAGTCCCGGAACGATGGCCATCTTCCATAGACCCCTCACCACCTCGAACCTGTTGAACGTCCAGGTGCTCTTCTTCGCCAGGACTCCTTTCCCCCTTATCGCTCCCAATCTCTTCTCTCGTTCATGGACCTTCAGGTAGTCGGGCTCCGCAGTCAGGGTCACTCCCAAGTATTTGACTGTGTTTTGTCTTGTCAACCTCCCTCCCTGCAGGTGCCACCGTTGTTCCTCTGGTTCCCGATTCGGTCCATCTCGGTCTCCCCAGGCTAGGACCGCACTCTTCCTCTGGTTGAAACGGAGTCTAAAATGCGTGGCGAGCTCCCCGCATATGTCCAGAAGCACCTGGAGGTCCTCAGGCGAGCCGGCAAGGAGCACCACATCATCGGCGTAAATGAGGGCCGGTATTCTCTGCCGCTTCCAGGCTCCCTCCACTCTGTATGATAGGTCGAAGCCCACACCCGACTGCTCCAGCGCTTTCTCCAACGGTGCCACATACAACATAAATAGCAAGGGGGATAGTGGACATCCTTGCCTCAGGCCCCTGGGTACTGGTAGACGCCTGGTCATGTGGCCCTCCCACTCAATCCGCACTGAGACCCCAGCATACAGTGCCTGCAGCAGATTCACATCTGCCTCGTTTATTCCTAGCCCTCGAAGTCGACTCCAGAGTATGTTCCGGTCCACCATGTCATATGCCTTGGAAATGTCCAGGAAAGCTGCGTAAAGTGGTCTGCCCTCCTGGACTGCCACTTCGATGCATTGTGTTACCACAAATAGGTTGTCTTCTATGCATCTTCTATGCATCGCGGTCACCCGGTTGCAGTGTTGCCAGATGGAGAAAAAAAAAGTCAGCAGATTGATCCCCCAAAAGTCAGTAGATTTGCACAAAAATCAGTAGATTCTACGAAATCTGTGTTTTGCCATGTTTTGCTATTTTTATTAAACCACACTTCGAAGAAATAGTATAGAGTAACAAATACCATGGTAATATACACAAATAAGAATGAAAAAAAAAAAAACAAGACCAGCTCTTGAGTTCACCTGTTTTATGGAGGACAAAGTAAAATGGCTCCGTGAATAGTTTTTTTTTTTTATCAGCACTGACTAGTGTTGCGATTTTGAGGATTATTCTTTGAAATCGAGCCTGAGCCACTTTTGGGATCAACAGATGAGTGCGACAGTGCGACATCTACCTATCGCTATTATTGAAACGGAACCAAAACAAGACGTTCCGACAAGTGCGCGCCTACATGTCCAATGGAAGTCCTCTGCAAGCTGCCATCTTTACTTATAGCGAGTTCGTTTCACACGCACTGGCACCGTTCGAGTTCTCTCCCAGAATGCATCGCACTCACAGAGTGTTGCACGGAAAACTGGACTCAAACGAACTCGCCAAATGCACCGAGTGCAGAAGACTGATGCTGCCGCCATCTATGTGGTAGAAAAGGTACCGACTTCAAACCGAAACTAGCGCCTTTCTGTTCCGAGTGATGCGTGGGAATGCGAGAATGCAGTCGCTACCAACGTTTATCGACAAACGTTGGCAACTGCAACCTGTAGTTTATAGTTGCGATGTCTTCAAGCAGCTCGGCTGCCGTAGAGATAGTTACAGACGGCGTAAATTTCCGCAACCAGCTGTCCACAAAGCAACTGGTTGCGATCTTTCAATCCTTATAACCGTTTACACTGAAGAAAACTGATGATGCTGTCCGAGCAGAAGCTTGATCCGTTTGAGCATGGTATTATGCGTGAACGACTGAAAGGGTACGGCTTAAAACTAGCCTGTTGGAATATCCAGCAAAACTGGGACTTTCGATTTGGATCGTCATTGTGGATTAGATATTAGCCTTGGTGAAGGCGTCGAGAACGAGAGCTTTCTCGAACAAAATACGACGGGGCAAGTTAGCTGCGTAGGTAAATGTTAAACATGATGATGTTGCCCAATCCTCGGGTAAAGTCACCATCTTTAGCTTTCTCTGCTGCTTATTGGGCAGTCAGAGGTTTCTGCTGGGGGAGTTTTATCGAATAATGTTAAATTTTTCACCCGCACACCGGATGGTGATAGACATCTCGGGGGCCGCTGTTGCGTTTGTTCTGAGCATTTCTTTACACACTGGTATATTTCAGCGCTTGTACGGCAACAGAGCGATTTAAAACCTGCAAATAAATCACGGGTTGTCGATTGCTTCCTTCGTGAAATAGCAGACGCTCACAATTCAAGCTCGCGTTTGATTTCGTTGCCCGCGGGACGCGATTTCTATCAGAAAATCTACTTTTTTTCCTTTCGGTTCCGCGACACATCGTAGCAGACGAACCCCCGTCGTCTGCTCCCGCTCCTCGCCGGCCCCGCCGGAGCGAGGCATGACGGGATTGCATTTTGGCGCACTCCCGATTTTCTCGGTGCAGCGAGTGCATGCACGCGTGGGGTGTCAGCGCTGAAACGAACTCGGGGAGTGCAACCACTCGTGGAGCGCCGGCCGAAACGAACCCGTTCCACGCTGCGAGTGGGCACGCGTGGGCACGAGTGCCGTGAAACGAACTCGCTATTACTGGGCTGTGGAAGGTTTTTGACGCAACGCTGTTGGCGCAGAGCACTGTTGAGGCTATGCGTCGTCTTCTACGGGCTTATTATTTCTTTTTCGCCTGACCCAAAGTTTGCGTTCAAACGTGGAGAAGCTTAATTCGATAGCTTTTTTAGGCCACCGAGGAATAACATTATATCATTTTCTTGCCAGAGCCTGCCAAATGAAAGTAAAGGACTGAAATCCGGATGTCGATCCCATGCATTCCGCCGGACGAATGAATGAAAAGGGCGACCCTCTCCGCTCAGCTCGGAGCAGCCGAGAGTTCAGGCGCATGCGCTCAAGCCTCTCGCTCTGCGCCGCGGGCTGATTGGCCCACTCGGGAGAGGGACGTTACGGCGACGAGATCATACAGGGGCCACACTCTCCCCATGCTCCCAGTGCTTCATTTTTAATTCTGGGAGAATATGAGTTTCCTTTATGCGCGACCCAGGGATCTGAAGGGGCCAAATAATAAATTTTAACATGTTTACCAAAAAAAAAGTCAGTAGATTTTCTTTCTTTTCAGTGAATCAGTAGACCCGGAAAGAAATCAGTAGATCTACTGATAAATCAGTAGACCTGGCAACACTGCCCGGTTGCAAAAAGCAAGAAAATAAACAAAACAAAACAAAAAAAAATAATACGTCAACAAAGTAAAAATAACAAAAAGTTTCCTCGCTAAAAACCGTGACGTCACAGAAAACAAAACAAACAAAAACAAGCAAAACAAAATTTTTTGTCACGTGACGTTATATTTGTGACGTCATTTCGGTGACGTCGGGTCACGTGATCTGCCATTATTCCTCCTCCGAATCGCTCGTTCCAGATCTGCCGCGGAGCGGCGTGCTCTGATTGGCCAGATTACCGCCGCACAAAATATTGACGGCGACGCACATACGGCGCCGGTCGCCGGCAGGAGCGTCTGCTACACTCCGGCGGATACTTTGGTGCCGTGGTCCGTGGTGACATAGCGGACGGGTTGTTTCATCTGCCAGTGCATATCCATTGAGTTATTCCGCATATTACGCGCATAAAGGTCGGTAGCAGAAGTTTCGAGCATGCCGATGTCCACAGTTCGACTGCTCCAACCTCGGCGATTCTCTACCCAAGCTCGAATGAAGTAGGCCTCGCTGCTCTGTTCCGTAATTGAAACCGTGTACACGTGGAGTGCTTGCAGTGCTAATGCGCAGTGCTTTTCAACCGTAATTCAAGAAGCGAGAACGATAGCCCTGCACAGCGTGTGTGGCTGGTGTCAACGTTTTCCGTGTGGCTCTTATCAAAGTAAGCCTTGTCGCCTTCCTACGCGCCCGCGTAGCGCCCGCAATGCTGTCAATCGTACTGCTCAATTAATTCGCTGTTTTTCTTGCTCTGAAACGCTATGCAGATTTTATATCCACTTCAATGCTTCACAGCTGAATGAACACTTGTTTGTCGCTGAACAAGATTGCCACGAACGGATTTGCTTCCGCGGTTTTACGCCCCGCAAGTGTTTACTTTTTCTGCCGTATTTTCACGTTTTATTGCACAGACTGCTTTGATTTGTACCAGTTTTAGGCTATTTGGCGCATACCAAGTTTTGTGAAATTAAAAGGACGCGAATTGGTTTCAAGCTGTTTGTTTCTTACGCCTATCATGATTTCACGTCGTGTTATTTTGATCAGCACTGGAGGTGAGCTAGGACTGCTCCAATAAGTCTTCTTAACCCCAAGGAGCAGAAAATAAAAACCCATACAGAACTCGGTTTCAATAGATAGGGGCCTTTTCCTGGTGCCTTTTTGTTCACTGTTCCCTTCTCTGCACTTGATACATAGGTATGTCACCTGCCCTTTCAGCCTGTGGAGGTCTATGGGAATTAGAACGGAAGCATTAAAGCCATCTTCAGAATTACTTGTGCCTTAAATCCTGTTACCCACGGGACATTCTTGTGTGAATCCAAAGTCCATGCTATTGAGAGCTTCTCCATGGTAGTGATAGACTCCAGCTACAATCTAGTTTTGTCATCTTTATTTCGGTCCCATCAATTTCCAGCTGCTGATGTCATCACTGTGTAATGCTGAAGTTCTAAAGGTCCCATAAATTACAGGCACATTCAGACAATCCAGGACACTGAGCACAACGAATGCAATGCTGCTGGTTCTCACGACCAGCGACTTATACGCACACACCCCTGACATACCCCAGGCCGAGTCCCTAATAACCGCGTCCCACTAGAGCAACAGCGACAGACGACAATGAGCGACAAACAGCCCATTGGTCGGAGTCCGCTGTCCCACCTGGCGGACACGACGCAGAAAAAGGGGACAAGGAAACTTGTTTCCTAGTGGGACTGGAGTTGTTAACAAAACACTTCAAAATACAGAGACAAACAGAGTATCGCGACGCAGTTTTCGCATTTCTCTTTGGCCGTAAAACGCACCGACAAACACGGTGAAAGTGGAGACGATTACTTTATTTTTTGTTTGAAGCTTCTGCTTGTCTTCATTTGCCATTGGCAACTTTCTGAAAACAGTCATGACAATCGACACCCAACTTTTTCCAAACTAGAATTTCTGAATCGTTCCTCTTTTGGGTTGTTCGAAGCATTCCAGATGGGCACCACGGAATTTCAAGTCAATTTGAGGATGTTTTTAATTACATATCCGAATGACCGAGGGCAGGCGTTTTATGGGGGACAATACGGGAGTAGTTTTATGGGGGGACAATCACAGAACAGACGACAACTCTCTCGTTTTGCCGGAATGGCTTGCCGCAGAACTGGTGGAACGTCGTGTCCTACTTCGTGGTGAGCGGTCTTACTTTGGTCAGTCCTCGCACATGGGTGTATCCATCCTGATGCAGGGGCGTAGACTTCGGTATCTTGAAGCACCAACTCGCGCACCAAGTTTTTGCGAGCAAAACCAGCCACAGCACATTCCCTTTTGCAACACGACATCTAGCAAGCAAGCCGTGCCTGCGACCACTGCGAGCAATCCAGGAATTGGAACTGCGGGAGCAGGAACGATCAGTGGCCGCCAAGGACTGAGTCACGGGAGGAATGGGAGGAAGGGTAGGAGGAGGGTGGGGAAGACAGCAACAGAAGGCACAAGCGGGAGAGAAAATTAAGTTTGTCCCCGAGTGATGTTCCTCGGAGGGCCTGCTTGCTGCGGCGTTTGTCGCGGGTGTTGGTCATTACAGTGGAACAGCATCAGCAACACAAAACTTTGTGGTGTTGCAGGACAAAAAT